TACCTTGTACTGCCAATTCAACTTCTGCATGTCTCTCTTTGTTTTAAGAGAGTACATTCCCAATTCTGCTCTCAATACAGTGTTGCTCGTTGTACTTGAACATCCTAGTATTTTCTTGGCCGCTGCCATCTGCACCGTTTCCAGCTGCTTGACGGCCTTTTCGTTACCTTCCCATATCTCTCCTGCATACTCTAGCTTAGGTACAATCACATTCAAGAGAATACACCTCTTAATCCTAGTGTCTAGGTGTGGGTCCGTAAGGATCTCGTCCATCTTGCCTATCTGAGCTTTACTCTTCCCAATCAACTTCGCTATGTGTGCGTCCCATGAGCACTCCTTCGAAATCTCTACTCCCAGGTACGTATACTTGTCTACTACCGGTAGTTCTTCCTCCCCCCATTTCCATTTGAATTGTACGGGATTTTTCTTATCTTCGTTACAGACCACTACTGCGCATTTTCCTACGTTCGCCGACAGTCTCCATTTTCGGGTGTATCCTACCGCCGCATCTATTTGTTCTTGCAACCCTTCTGGTGTTTCGGATACCCCCACGAAATCATCTGCAAACATCAGTCCGGACACACTCTTTCCCTCTACTTGGACTCCCTGTCTTACTGCTTCAACCGCCCTTATCAAATCGTTGATGTAAATCTTAAAAAGAGTGGGTGACATCGTACAGCCCTGTGCGACTCCTTGGAGTATATCCACGTACTTTGAAATTTCCCCATCCAACATCACCGCACTTCTTGTGCATTCTGTCATCTTTTTCAACATCCTCCACATTTTCCCCCGGATGCCGATGTCCCACATCTTTTTCCACAATCCATTGCGCCATACGGTGTCGTAGGCTTTTTGTATATCGAGGAAGAAACAGTATGTCGTACGCCCGGCGTCTTTCCTACCTTGGATGATTTTACTCAACGTATATACATGGTCTACACAACTACGATCTGGTCTAAATCCAGCTTGTCCTTCGCTGATCTTTTGTTTCCCCTCCAACATGTCTCCCATTCTATTGTCTATCATCTTGCCAAACAGTTTCCGCACTGTGCTCAACAGGGTTATCCCTCTATAATTCCCCGGGTCAGCTTTATCCCCCTTTTTGAACAGGTTCACGACTACTCCTTCTCTCCATCTCTTCGGCGCGTACTCGTGTTTCCATATCCAGTTGAATATCCGGACCAACATGTTAATCATCCCCTCCCCCCCCTGTTTCAAAAGCTCGTTCACAATTCCATCAGCCCCTGCCGCTTTTCTATTCTTGAGTTTCGCTACGCAGTCCTCTACCTCTTCTCGTGTGAACTCTCCCTGCAACCCGTCTACATCACTACGTTCCCTCTGAGATATTTCAACGTTTTCCTCTGCCCACGAGTTGATTTCCTTCTCAAACTCCGAGTCGAAGTTGTCGTTGGTGGTGGGTGTCCCAAGTTTGCGGTAGTGCTCTACTAGTACTTCCCTCTTTCCTTTAGAACTGCTTACCATCTTACCCTCGGCAGATCTTAGTGTCGTTATTTCCGTGTCTCCCCCTCTTTTGTTGCCCACTATCCCTTGAATTCCTACCCACATTTGCTTCATCCCCCCCTCAAAATCTTCGTTAGTCTTTTGGACTACTTCCTCCCACAACCCTTTCTTCTTCTTCACGACCAACTCCTTCACCCTCTTTCTACTTTCAACATACTCCTTCCATCCTGCATCTGTTTTCCCGGCCGCATATTTTGCGTGTGACTCTCTACGTACTCGAATTGCTTGCTTGATTTCTTCGTCCCACCACTTCACTGCTCTCTTACAAACTATCAACTTTCTACCTAGAACTCTGCTTGCTGTTGTGTTTACCAGCTCTTCCCACTCTTCTATGATTCTAGACCCGGCCTGGTCCCGGCCTTCGGCATCCTTCGGTGTACCCATTGCCTCCATCAACTCCGAGAGTTTCTTGTCGTTTATAGCCATCTCTTCTTGGAACTCTACCCTCGTTTCTTCTACTTCTAGCTTATCTATTCTCCATCTGTACATTTTCCTGCGTCGCCTACTCTGTATGACTCTCTTCTGTTGTAGGGCTGTCCACACCAACGCGTGGTCTGTAGTGCCTACATCCGTTGTGCATACTCGTACTTCCGTCTCTTTCCCCCCATTCTCTACGACTATATAGTCAAGGATGGAGCGTTCTCCTTTTTTGAAACATTGCCTAGTCCATTCCGGTTCTGTCTTTCGTACTCTACCGTTCAACACCTTCATCTCGCTACTGTCAAGGAACCTCAGCATTTCTTCCCCGTTTTTGTTCGTGGCTCCCTCCCCGTATTGCCCTATGGTTCCGTGTGGGTTCGTGGTTCGCCCGATTCTTGAATTGAAGTCCCCAACTAGAACTACTTCTCCCTTTCTCTTGAAGTTTTGTACATCCGCTGCTACCTCCTCGAACCCTATCCTGATGTCTTTCACCATATTCTTCGACTCTGGTGGCATATATACATTTCCCTACGAACAAGTCCTTTCTTCCCCGTTCCCCTGGTACCCTTATCCACATGCTTTCGTTGAATTTGGTGTCGCTGATCACCTCAATTATGTCGCACATGTGCTCCTTGACTAAGAATCCAACTCCCTCCCCTCTACTCTTGATTTTCTGTCCTCTCCTCATTTTACCTATCTGGGGTATCGGGGGGGGGCCAAACAAGTGGATGTCATCATTGCGAGTGCAGTCTACCGCGGAAAAGGAAATGATCAGTACCCCACACATTGGTGTTGAGCGATTCGACAACACTCGCACGTTCCAGACTCAGAAGAGATGGACCGCTCAAAGGGCGCGGCAGGTCACGAAAATGCGTTTCGCATGACTACAAGCAGGGGATTGTTGTAACAAAGTAGTGGCCCGCCCGCGATGACAATAACATTCACCACATGTGTGGACCGTATCAAACTCCCTTTGCAGAATCACCAACTGGTCAAAACCTCTCACCTGCTCCTTCAAGAGGATTGCCCGGATGCTGAGACATGGAGCAAGATCGGGGTGGTCAGGGCCCAGCGTGTTTTCTACAATCTCGATAGCTCGAAGGGACAGAGAATCCGCCTCGGCATACTTGCCCTGTAGTGCGAGGGGACGTGCGAGATGCCATGAGCGTGCTCGTGTCAACAAGTGTGGAGGAAACAACCCCAACATTCACCTTTCCATATTTGACTCCATGGGAAATATGTTCAGTCGACCCCATGTATTGATATCGGTGTTCCAAAACGACCACTTGCTGCAATAGAAGAATCACAAGGTTCACCCTCACATCACCGACTTCACAACCTAAGGCTTCGGATCCAGCCACTTGTCCCTCGCCGCTTGTGATCGCTGACAGATCGCGGTAGCCTATGCGAACACTACGCAGTATAGGTCGCAAGCAAATGGGTTCATGTGAGGCAGTGGTCGACCGAAACAGATAATAGCGCCAACAAAGTCTGTACCATGGGAACACGCCATCTCAACTCCGCCTGACCACATAGATTTATCATCCCCCCGGACTATGAGAGCGACACCTCAACCCTCTTAGCCATTTTCTGATAGGCATACCCGCGCTTGCAACAAATCCGCCCGATTGCTAAGCCTTGTAGCGAGATCAGGGTGGTCAGAGCTGCCATGAGTTTTCTCTCCAATCTCGATGGCTCGAAGATACAGAGCGTCGGCCTCCGCGTACTTGCCCTGGAGTACGGGGGGGGGCGCGATGAGTACGGAGTCGTGTAAGGCAGTGCGACAGAACAGATTTCAATCAATCACGCCCGGATAGTTCAAGTGCATCCATACCCAATACCATACGTACTCGCTCGTGCGACTTTGACAACCTGTTCAGCACCTCCGCCTCATTTATCAATCAAGTTCGCAAATAATGGATCGTTGTGAGAAACAACGATACAAAAAAAAATGGGTGGATCGTGGAAGAGCAACCTATCAAAAGATACATCCCCTGACAAACAACAACCCCCCCCGCACCACAAAGCCCGCCCGTTGCAGCACGAAGCTTCCTGCAACCAATGCTGGCCCCTCACCTGACTCTTTAACACTAACGCTCGGCCATTGAGCGTTTCGGCAAGGTCTGGGTGGTCAGGACCTAGGGTCTTCCGCTGAATCTCGATAGCTTCGAGGTACAGAGAGTTCGCCTCAACGTACTTGCCCTGGAACGTGAGGGACAAGTGCAACAGGAATGGATACCCAACATCCCAACCCCGTGGCCGCAAGGTCTGGTCCATGAGCGCCTTGCGACTGATCCTCAATCGCTCGAAGTTACGCTGTAATTCCGATGAAAAAAGCAGTGGCTAGGTGTCTTACGCCAAGTTCCACCGAGCGCAAAAGAAACATTTGACGAACACCTATGGATATGCATACGGAACCCCACGAATTATTTCGAAACTTTCTTCAACGTTACCCGAGGAATGTTCGATTGTTCAAACGAACATAAGCAGGATTGCTGAGACCATCACCTGCTTTCTCGAGCTTTCCGCCCGGCCGTACATGCCCTTGGCCATCTCTCGGTGGTCAGGCCGCTGGTGGAGTCGATCTTCACCCTGATGTGCGCCGCCCACGTACAGGGCAATCGACCAAGGGAACACATCAGGGCGGGCGAGTTGCGAGAGAAGTGCCAACATAGACATACCACCTTCTTTTGCGTAGCACTGAACGGAATGGTGACATACAGGCAGTCCCGAATCCGAACAATCGACGATCACAAGCGAAAAAGATGTGATTGAAATTCGCAATAGCAAGAAGACAACAGAGACACAACTGACCAGCTGCAACTGCAATATCGAGTATGTTGTGAACAGTTGCTGCAGTATCGCACAACTCAGCTAGTGGCGGTTTCTCACCTTCGTGATGACGTCCTCGTCGATCATATCGGTGAGCTGTTTGAATTCGCCGCTTGTTCCAGCTGACGGCGCGAGTGCTTTGTTCGCGAGCAGCAAATCCTTACTCGGTGCCTGTACGTTTCCAGAGTCTCGAGGCAGCGCGGTGGTTCCGACCTCCTCTTCCGCAACAAGGGGTGACGCCTCAACGCCATCACTGACCGAATCCGGTGCCGTTCCCACTCCATCGCTCGATGGGCCAACACTACGCTGGGTACCTGGTGACGAGGTGGCATCCACGGCAACTGCGCTGTGATTGCGAGGATCTCCATTACGCGACACAACGCTTGCCAGCGTCTGTACCACGGGCCCAAATCCCTCGGGGCGATGCCCGGGGTCTTGCTTCCAGCACTGCTCCATTAGAGGCACGACATCTGGCGACCCAGACGCCCACTCTGGAATCTGAGGTCGCCTTTCGTTCAGCACGACCGCCTTGATCACTTGCGTAGGATTCATTCCCTTGAACGGCTCCATTCGGGTGATCACCTCGAAGCAGACGACACCGAAACTAGCAGGGCACAGCGCAAGTAGGCAAAGGAGTGATGGTTTAGGATACTTTGATGTCGCAATCGAGGTTCTTGCTGATGTCGCAATTGAGGTTCCTCCTCTCAGAGGTGGCAAATCCACCACCAACAACGTGGCGTTCGGGCCTGATAGTGTGACCCTCTTGTTTGGTGATATTTAGCAAGGTGTTTCTATTATCGGTAACGCTGTCCACGAAAACTAAATCGAACTTCCCAGGCAGGAGAACACCACTGAATGATCACGGGGCGAACGGGGACAATGACTCGCAACGAAACTGTGGTTGAGAAGTTGGTATGTTAGCCTCCCGCCAATGGCAACCACCATCGGATACCATAACGCCCGACAACCACCCTTCACCTGTATAAATCCGTTCGTTCACTTGCCGGGCTCTCGTCCATCTCCTCTGGTGACATCCACTGGGCGGTCCCCACAGCCCCTCGTTTCGACCTGCTTGAGGATTCCGTCTTGATTTTGGACAGCCCGAAGTCGCAAAGCTTTAGGTGACCATTGGCAAACATGAGCACGTTCGCAGATTTCAGGTCGCGATGCAAAATACCCTTTTTGTGCAAGAACGACATGCCTCGGGCAATGTCGTACAGGAACGCCGTCTGCAGCGCGTGTGCGAGCGGTTCGCTCGATGAGTGCAAGTTCTCCCGCAGCGAGCCCCGGCTAGCGAGCTCAACGACCAGGCAAAGGCGGGGGGGTATCGTAGAAGCCGCGTATAGCTGGACGACATGGTCGAAGCGCAGATTGGAATGAATTCGAATTTCCTTCCTGAGGGTGCGGACATCGTCGCGATGAAGGTCGCCCGCTAGGAGACGCTTCACCGCTACGTGCGACCCGTTCCACTTGGCCGTGCATACTTCACCGAAGCCCCCCGACCCGAGCCGGCTGCTGCCCTTGAAGTCCAAGTCTTTGTCATAGTCGATCTCGTCCCACTCCGTTAGTTCCAACCGCTCGTCTTTTCGGAGTGCCTGCGCGACGCGTAGCAGACAGCGAATCAATCGGCTAAATGTGAAGTGACGTAACTAAACGCTGCTGAGATTCTGGCGCACCGCTAGATCGGAAAAACAACCGCCCATGCTCACCTTCAACACACCGAGAATCTCTGCGTGGTTTTCCGTGCGGTTGCGCTCCATCCTTTCCATGGTGTCCACCATGTTCTCGAGATCGTCCAGGCGGTCTGCTGCATCTTCTTTGGCCCACGCGTCCACGGCAATGTCCAGCGAAAGCGCTTGTACGCCCTCGTTTATGTGGATACCGAACTGTGTGAACTCGCTCGCGTTTGATTTCCGCTTGAGGGCGCGATTGAAGTTCGACATCCGTGCGTAGCCTCCCAAGAAGTTTCGGATCATCTCCACGGTCCCTAAGAGCTGGCGCAGCGACTCGGAAGAGGACATGTTTGTGCCCTGTTTGACGGCGAGCACAGCAGGCTCGATAGCTTTCACTCTCTCGATCAGTCGACAAGCTTGACGGTCGTTCTCTTTGATGTCTTTCGCGAAATCACGGATCTGGGCCATTACACCGAGAACGATGACGGCGACGTCCGCCATTGGTCTCGAGATGAGGGAGCAACCAGCGTCCTTCGTCCCTGTCACGGCAGTTCAAAGAAAAATGGTCAGTGTGGGGGGAGGCTTGAGTCTTTCAACTAAAAATATGAAGTCCGACAATTAGGGTACAAAGGTTCAAACTAACCGTACAGGCAACCGAGAAGAGTAAGAGAGACATGGCAGAGCGAAACGATGACTCCTGCCAGATTGAATGTGGGGGTAGGAATTATTTCCCAATCGGTTTCCTTTTTTCCATTTCATCCTTCCCTGATAAATGTGATGTATTTCCTCTTCCCTGATGGATGTGATGTATTTCCTCGGCGATTACATTTTTTGTTTACTCTCTGCCATTCCGGGAACATTTTTCAGGTGGCCTGTTGCCCGTTTGGTCTGCGCATGGCGGGGGTGAGCCTGGTGGGCGAGAACATGGCATGGACAATTCTTTGCACAGCAGTAGGGGTGCGGGGGGTGAACGTTGTGGCTTTTTTGGATGGAATTCTTAGGTATTAGTCGTGTCTCGATCTGCAGCCCCCTAGCGATTAATTTGCAGGTTTTGTAAAGACCGATCCAAACCCGGCGATGAATACACGTCAGCCTAGTTGAGGTATTTGTGAAGTGCGAGCAGGTAGCGGGACTCTGCCAAATTTTTGTCCATAGTCCGACCTGTCGCCTGTGACGTGCGACTGCCTGGAAGTCATAAACTAGCCATTTCTGGTACCGCGGTACGTTGTTTTGGCGGCACGCCAATAATTTGTGCGGAAACGAAAACATCAAGCTGTTTAGATGTGTCGAGGACAACCAATGGGCGGGGGGGAGGGGAAAACGTGCGGTTTTCGTTCTGTTGTCGGGAGATTTCGTCTTGTTCATTTCGGCGCTATAACAATAAGCGGCAGTTGCAGGGAAGAACACCTGCGGAGGTAAAGCCTACGAACTTCTTGTCGAGTTTGTACTACATGTAATGTGAGGGGTGGCGGCATCTATCTGTACATCGTAGATGAGATGACAGAGACTGGGACTTCCTCCCTCTCTCGTTCCGAGAAAATTCGCTCCTACCTGTACACTCGAACGGGAACGACGGTGTATGCCGCAAAACAGAGCACTACTGGGTTACGTTCTTGCAAGAGGAGAGACGCGACTGAGCTACAGGTCACTATCCACGATGTATTGTTGGACCGAGAAATGTGCATTTGTCGTGTACACGCACCTGTTGCTGCGCATCTCATGTGTTCGTCCGAGGCATCCAATGCCTTCATTCCATCCCTTCTGTACTACTATTGTAGTTGCCTACCGGGTAGCAGCCCAATAACCAGCATGGAAACGTGGGTCGATAGGGTACAGTCGTCCCCGCTTTATGGACACTGATAGTTTCATGGTATTCATTAGAAGAACATAAAAATGTCCCAACACTTCATCCGCAGCGCAGGCTCGATGGAGGCGTGTTATCGTTGAACGAAGCGTCGTCGGGAAGGGAGTCGCTGGGGCCAAAGGAAACGGCAGGGAGCCTGGAGGGCAAGCCGTGGCATGCCACTGAGAGTTCAGCATATGTACTTTATTGTTTTTCTTTCAAATTTGCCATTTTTACATTAATGTTTTCTCTTCACACGCAGGGAAGAGAGAGAAACCGCTCCGACAGAACACGTTTCCTGCAGACTCCCTCTGCACCTGTCCTACCGTGTCTCTGTCCCTCAGTACTACTGTCTCTCTCTCTTCCCTAAGAAAACAGCCCGGGGTTTCTCTTTCCACCGGTGTGGGGAACTCTTTCTACTTTACGGAACCTCTCAGACGACCAAGTCCCCAAATGGTAGTCTACCATTTACTCTACCCCATTTTCTGTAACCCTTGTATTCCTTCCGTTCCCTCACCTTCGAAATAAAGGGGTGGGTGGGCGGGAAAGAACGCAATTTCTTTGCCTCCTAGCCTGGCCAATCCTTTGTACAGTATCCCTCTCTGAGTCCACCAACTACTGATGTTATGCAGTTCTGCTATTGCACGCCTGTCCAGCAGGCCTTCTCCTAGCACATGAACTCTCCGAGAAAGTGACCACTCCAAAATACTCTTCTCTATTCTGATACTCCGAAAAACAGGAACAAAAATGCCTCTGGCAAATTCGACGGTTTCAATAAACAGTAGTCTGCATCGGCTATATCTGCCTCACCAAACTTGCTATTTACTGTTTTTCTTTCGAATTTGCCATTTTTGCATTAATGTTTTCTCTTC